CTGCACCCACATGCTCCCTCTGGCTTAGACCACTTTCACGCTGGCCACCCTGTTTTCCAGCCTGCTGCAATATTCTGTAAATCAGCGGTGATGCCGATGGCACAGCTCTGTCACTTGAACCAGCCCCGGCTCTTTCTGGAAACTGCAAATTACGAATAACACGGAGCACAGCCCAGGCATTTACAGTGCTTGATCTGACCAACCCACCACTTGACAGCTGCAGCTGTTCCTGGCAACTGGTTGTCATTGTCAGCCCCGCAAGCAGGCTGGGGAGCTGCCCTGGGCTGGGGGGGGAGGCGACCCAGCCTCGCAGGCGCTAACGTGCCCGGCAACACCCGTCTGCTGGCGAGGCAGCCGCACTAGAAGAAACGGTGTGGATCGGCACGGTTACCCCATAGCTCCCAAGCTGCTTCTCCTGCGCGGCCGTCGCCGCTCCCCAGAGGAACTGTGGCATCAGCAGGCACATCATCCTCTGGGTGGAAAATGAGTCCATCACCCTGCTGCCTTCCAGCACAGGGGAGAAACATCAAACTCTTCTCCCGTTTCACAGCATCATTGACAGCCTCAGTGCAGAGCTGGGCAGGCACGCTGCTGTTGACAGCTCTCCTATTCCTAATACATTCTTACATCTTCTCCCCGCTGTCCTTGGCAGGACCTGACCCTGATTTCTTCCTGATGCCTCTCACTTCCCTTATCTTTTTTCACTTATCATAAATTCTCATTTACCGTGATTTCTGTCTCCTATTAGCTCCATTCATTACGCATTGCTTTGTGTCCTGAGTTCCTAAGGAAACAAATTACAGATACTGCAGTGGGGATTATCTAAGCAACTGCCTCTAATGAAGCTCTAATGAGCCTCCAACACACGTTCAGGGCAGCTCACACAGTAACTTCACCTGTGCGGCTCCTCTGCAGGGGCCCGAATCCTCCTGCTCTCCCCACAGCACTGGCTGCCACCCCAAGGCTGGTTCCTGTGGCAGTGGGGACAGCAGTGCCTCAAAGATAGCTTAATTGGATCTGTTAATGCCAAATTTAGGCTCCACCGAAGAACAACGTCCTACAATGGCTGAAAATAGCGGATTGCTTCAGAAACCTTTCTACAACCTGATGGAAAAACCAAAGTCCTTCTTTAAGAAGGTGTAAATCGAAAATACCCAACAAGTGGACTTTAATCAACCTAAAAGAGAGACCTGTCTTTTTGTCGGTGTTTTCTTTAATAACGGGAAGAAATCTCACACTTCCACTACAGAAGTAAGCAGAGGAGCATCACCAGGCTGGATGCCACAGAGCCCAGCCAGTGTCCAGGGGCTGACGGGTCCTCGGGGGACTCTGCTCCAACCTCTTGCTCAAAACTTCACAGTCCTTCAGCAGATTGCCTTCTGCATTACACCAGGTGTCCCACAAAGCAACTGCCTTTTACACTTTTGTCATGGTTTAACCTCAGCCGGCAACTGAGCACCACACAGCTGCTCGCTCACTCCCCCCCGCCAAGGTGGGATGGGGAAGAGAATTGGGAGAGTAAGCATGATAAAACTCGTGGGTTGTGATAAGAACAGTTTAATAATTGAAATAAAATGATGATAATAATAATAATAATAATAAATTATATACAAAGCAAGTGATGCACAATGCAATTGCTCACCACCCGCCGCCATATGGAATGTCCCTTTGGCCAGTTTGGGTCAGCTGTCCCGGCTGTGCCCCCTCCCAGCTTCTTGTGCACCTCCAGCCTGCTCAGTCGGTAGAGCATGGGAAGCTGAAAAGTCCTTGACTAGTGTAAGCACTACCTAGCAACAACTAAAACATCGGTGTGTTATCAACATTATTCTCATCCTAAATCCAAAACACAGCACTGTACCAGCTACTAGGAAGAAAATTAATTCTATCCCAGCCAAAACCAGGACAACTTTCAGGACAGGCACCGTCTCCAGTGTACACGGCACAGGCAGCTGGTTCTGGGGTGACAGATTTTATCTGAAGTCACTGAAAGGAAACCTGCAGAGGCAGCAGGAGTTTGGGCCTCAGGGCACTGGAAGCCCTGTCATCAGTACTGCCTGGAGCACACCTGGGCCAGCAGGACCAGCAATGCCACATCCCGGCTGAAAAGCACTTTGCGTAAAAGACAAGTCAGAGAAAATGTGTAAATGAGCTTTCCTGACCATGGAATTAAAATCAGCATAAGGAAAATGCGAGCTCGTAAGGAGAAACTCTTGCAGGTTAGGGGGCCTCTCAAGGAAGGAGATGGAGTTCAGGGATCCCCAGGTTCAGAGTGCGACGACGAGAACATCGTTCTCCCAGTGGGAACGCAGTGCTTGGCGAGGCCTGTGATCGCCGTGGGGGGGGAAAGTCACCCCACTTTGCTGGGCAGCTGCTCCGGAGGTTTGGTTTCTGGGGGCTCAGCAGACACCCCTGTGCCGGGACGCAGGTCAGATGCCCCGAGGCAGGGACAAGCTCAGTCAGTTTTGGTGGCTGCCGGGGTGGCACAGGCTTCATCAGCCAAGCATCCGACAGGGATCCCTGCGATGGGTGATGGCTGGAAGCGTTTTTTGTAAAAACTGGAAATCTCCAGAGGAGGGCTCTGGCCTGGCACTAATCCTTACCCCCTGCAAAGTGCAAAGGCTTGGACACCGGCGCCACGGGGGGCACAGACGTAAGCGCCGGGATGCCAGGCGCTGTCTCAGGTGGCTGGGATGCAAAGAGTTTATCTGAGTTCAGGATGTGAAAGGACAAGTCCCCACAGAGGGCTGCCAGCCGCAGGGGCACCCCCCAGCGCCTGGCGAACTGTCATGCCACCAGCCTTTGAGCACGGGAGCGTGATGTGGGACAGCGTCACCGTACACATGCCACCTTCTCAT